ATGTGGCAGCTTAAAAAGAGACTACCAGAGACTATAAGAAGTGAAGTGCTACGGTGCTGGTTTATTGATTGCACATTGCTGATTTAGTATTGGAGTTTAACAGCTTGATAGAAGTCGGGACGAACGATAACTTCAGTCTGTTTGATTTGCACTTTGACACATGGAGTCTTCTTCCTGATGGCACAGGTTCATATTCAGAGAAGAGGGGAGCTAAACTGCATTGCTTCACTAAGGAGAATTTAAGGTTTGTTATTTCTGTATTATGATGTTGTAAACTAAAAAAAGTCGCTTTTTAATATCCCCTGCTGTCACTCTAGTGCTGAAATCAAACAGTTACAACATACCATACATGGATCACATATTTTGTGAGGAGTTAATGGTGTTAATGACGACGCATATTTAAAACTGTTGATTTACCTGCTCTGAGTTATAGAGTAACTTTCCTGTGGAATGAAATGAATGCGTCAGCTCAACGGCTCTTCTGATTGGGTTTATAGAGATCGCCTGATCAAACTAATTAGAGCGATCTAATTAGCGTCTGTTTTCCTTCTGCAGGCAGCTTTTATGTACCAGTTGCAAGGGAAGTATCTTCAAAATCAGGTGCAAGGCTACAGATGTTACATATTGGCTGAAGCACAGTTATTACAGCTAACATTAAGACTAACAATAGGTTCTGCTGTGGTTTACAGGGAATTATGTGGCCTCAGGTCTTAACTGGAGGCATTGGAAATGTCTTCAACGCAGTCATCAACTACATCTTCCTTTATCCTCTGGAGTTGGGGGTCGCGTGAGTTTTGCATCATCATAATTATTTGTTAGAGCTTAATTGTTAGTGTACTATAACAGTTAATCTTTAGATCTTTCAGACACGCATTATCACTGTGCTGATGATTATAACAGCTGTAATAAATATGAAAAATGCTAAATTACACTTTGGTTTTTGTATAGATTAAAGGAACGAAATATAACGTGTTAATTTGTTAACAAGTTTTAGAGGGGCTGGTTGGCGGATTTAGTTAATGTCCCTTTAATGTAGTAATTGTTAGTGTACTATAACAGTCAATGTTTAGATGATTATAACAGCTGTAATAAATATGTAATATGCTAAATGTGTATATTTCTAAACAAAATAGTTATATCTACTTTTTTTCTACTCTGTTCTAAAACCTGTTGGTTCTCCCCGATACTACTGAAGTGGATCTGCTGTAGCCAATGTGATCTCACAGTATTTGCTGGTTTTGTTGCTATATGTTTACATCTGCTGGAAGGGTCTGCACAAGGCCACATGGGGAGGTGAGTGTTTTTTGCCCGATTTTGACCACAACATGAGTTTGATGTTTAAATGTTTTTTCATTCTAGACTCAGCTACAATAATTCTGTTGTACTGTCCAATACTTTAATCCCGATTCATCATTCATATCTCTTACACTGCAGTATTTTTTTTTTTTTAATAAGCATTCCAGTGTGTCATTATATGATAAATTTACCGTACACACATTTGACCCACAGGTTGGTCACTCGACTGTCTGCAGGAGTGGGGTCCCTTTGTCAAACTGGCCATTCCCAGCATGTTCATGATGTGCCTGTCATGGTGGATATTTGAAATAGGAGGATTCCTGGCTGGATTGATAAGTGAGGTTGAGCTGGGAGCTCAGTCCATAGCATACCAGCTGTGCATTGTAGCATATATGGTAACTCCTCTTGCAATTAGACATGCTAATAGTGTGTTTGGTTATTGCTCCCATGAAACAATCATGACTTTTCTTTTGGGATGAACTGCAATGTTTAAAAAAATATGCAACAAACAACCCACCAACTGGCATCAGATTTAGATTCTGATTGGTGCACAGATATATCTGTGATCAGTTTTTTCTAACTGCGCCCACTTTAAACCAGTTGGAAAAACTCAGAAATGAATGTGAAATAACTGTTAAATTTTGACAGAAACCTCTGTGTTAATGCAGAACCCATAGCTGATAGTCAAGTTTAAACATGGGTTTAAAAATCTTTTGTGACAGTATAATTGCATTTTAATGGTCATTCTATGTTTAGTTTGACCTAACTAATGTCTATTTGTATCTTCCTGTAAATTGATCTTTGTGTAAGTAGACTGAGGGCAACTATATTTGTTAAATGTAATACTACAGCACAGAAAAAGGAACGGAGAAAATAATAATCTCAATTTTGGCTCATAAAAGATGAATAGGTTACACAAACATATGAACATGACCCCCCATATAACCACAACATGTTATTTTTACACTTTACACTCCTCTAGAGTTGGGGGTCGCGTGACTCTTGCATCATCGTAATTATGTGTTAGAGCTTAATTGTTAGTGCACTATAACAGTCAATCTTTAGACGATTATAACTGCTGTAATACATATGTAATATAATGTACAGATTAAAGAAACGAGTTATAACGTGTTAACTAGTGGGTTTTTAGAGGGGCTGGCTGGCGGATTTTATTCATGTTCCTTTAATGTAGATATTTGTTTCAAATATCACCTAAAATAATGTATTCAATGTATATCATTAAGTCATTTTCTTTCACAGTTCCCACAAGGATTCTCTGTTGCTGCCACTGTCCGGGTCGGGAATGCTCTTGGTGCAGGAAACACAGAGCAGGCCAAGCTGTCTTGCAAAGTCCCCATTGTGTGTGCATGTAAGAATCAATGCAAGTTGCCGGCATTAGAACTACAGAAAGTCATTAAAGTAACGAGAACACACATTTTACTTGGGCCAGTGATACATGAACTATTATATTTAGAAAATATTTGATACAATGAACCAAGTGTCACATAAACACAAAAAATTCACCCTATAACCCTATAAACAGAAATACAGTAGTATCTGAAACACAGGCTCTTGTGATCACTCTTTCTTTCTCTTTGAAATTTCAACATTTAAATGCTCTTTTTGTTTTTGTTCCCAGTCATTGTTGCATGTTTTGTTGGAGCTAGTCTCGGCATGGCCAGAGGAGTCATTGGATACATTTTCACCTCAGAGCAGTGAGTAAAGTCTGTGACACAGTATCCTTCACTTCCTTGCACTGACAGAAATTTGAAAAAAAATGTCATCCAGACTTTTGTATGTAAACTTCACACTACGATGAAAGCTGCTCATCTGATTAAAAACACAGTTGATGATGACAACATCTTATTCACATGCAATTTAAGTTTCGGCAATCTCTTAGTATTTTAATGTTATATTTGAGGTGTGATAGTCAGTATACATTGTTGTACCTAACAAGAATCTCTGTTTGCAACTTTTTTAGAGACATTATTCAGAGAGTTGCTGATGTCATGCTCATATTTGGTTTCATGCATGTTGGTGATGCCACTGCGGTGAGAAGCAATGCACAGTCAACTTTTCCATGCATGTAATCCATAAAGGATTTTAATACATTTTGGCATAAAATGTGATTTGACCCAATCTGTAATTGATATGATCAGGGCGTAGCTGGAGGTGTTCTCAGAGGAGCAGGAAAACAGTTGATTGGTGCTCTGTGTAACCTGGTCGGGTTTTACTTCATTGGCTTCCCAATTGGTGTGTCCCTGATGTATGCAGCCAACATGGGGATTGTAGGTAAGACCAAACTCATAAAATGCATTATCATGTCTTGTGCCTCCCTCCTTGTCAACTCACATTAAGAAAAGCAATTAAAACTCTTCTCCCATTTCTGTGTAGGACTGTGGACAGGACTTACCATTTGTGTATCACTGCAGACAATTGTTTTTATAACAGTTTTGTGCAAACTTGATTGGAATAGGACTGCTAAAGAGGTGGGTAGCTAAATCCTGTTGTCTTAAGATGTATCTGAAGTTAAACCACCTATCAGCAACTGTTCTTAATGTCCCTGGTCAGGCTCTTGTGAGAGCAGGAGTCCAAATCACAAAAGAAAAAGAAATCGTTGAGCTGGAACACACTGGTAAGTTCAGGCAGTGCCTGAACTTTCCACATTCTCTATGATTATGTGAAACATCCCTGCTTTAAGTCTTGCATGATGGTTTTGTGTTAATAGTAGACATTCCTTCTCAAATTCAAACCTCTAGACTCGAATCGGAGCCAGGTCCAGGTCAGTACTACTCTATCCAGCTTTGTGAATGCTGAGGAGGATGACGCAGACCTGCAAGTGCAAGATTCAGGCCACAGTCCACTACAGTCCACTACCACTACAGTGGGAGATGTTCTGTCAGTAAAGCAGCTGCTTTTACGGCGTGGCCTGACGTTACTTATCATGATCTGCATCCTCGTTGCTGGAATTGTACCCAGCAAATTGCTGGTTAAACTGTTGAAATGACTCATCCTAAAGGATCAGAAATATTGTTAACACTGAGACAACTGACAACACTGTGTCAAAGGACTGCAAAGGACTGAGTGTCAAAGAAATTCACCTTCCCAGTCTGCAGTTCTGTGCAGCTTCCAGTCACTCTCAGCCTTATGTATTAGCTTGCTGGTCTGTCTAGCGCTGGCTCTCAGTGACCCCCTCACATTCGCACTTTTCTGCAAATGATGGGAAGCCAAAGTATGTGACTTGTGACGAGTCAAAAAGCCAAAGAAAACTAGAAAAAACTAGAAAATTTTTTTTTTAAGCTAGCAGACCAAACCAGGGACAAAATGCAAGCAAATAGTGGAATTGCAGCATGGAATGCACATGTTTCTCTGAATGCTGGAGTTACATCCTTCACATTTTTGTCTTTACGTTAGCCATACAAACTGTTTTGCTTAAAGCAGTTTTGTGTACAATCTGTTAAATATTGATTGACATCACCCACAATGCAAGTCGACCACTGACAAAGGGGTTGTAGAGATTTGGGTGAAGGACTGAATGTCAGTACTCATCTGAAGTATCTGTCACTAAAACCTAACTTAAACACTTTATAATTAGTAAGAATGCTATAATATAATTGTATAAATCAAAGTGAAAAATATGTTTTGGTGTTACTTTTGTTTTTATATCTTATCTAAAGATCTCACAACTCTTTGTTTTTTGTAAGTTTATTTCATGTCATTTATACAGTTTGTTTTAATTTCGATGTGTAATGAAAAGCTTGTGTGACAAAGTCAATGTTCCTTTGAGTTATCAATTGATTCTGCAATGCCCAATTGGTAGTTATACTGGCTTTTATGCGTCAACATGTGTAACTATGAGTATGAGCAAGTCAATTCAGCCTCTACACTTTAAACTGAGCTTTTCTGCCAAAATATCATAAACGTGTTTCATAAAGAAGGCTTATTGGGAAAAGCCTGGTTTGTAAAATGAGCTATAGTGTAAATCCTATCACCATAATAAAGATAACAGAGATGTGAAGAGAACACAGCATAATTGCCAAAGAATAAACATAATAACATATAATGCAATGGATGAAATATTGTACAAAACCACTGTATTAAACTAAACCAAAACATTTGAGGCGAGATGACCTCTGTGTCATTAAACTCCACTGTTGACTCAGTTTCTGCCTTCCTTCTACGTCATCTTTGGTTCACATTCACTGTGTGAGTGTGATTTTTTTTTCTCTCTCTGTCATTACTGTTGAAAATTAATCTTACATGTGCAAGATACAAGACACTGACTGAAGTGTCACGTAGAAAGGACTAGACAGCTTATGTATTATAATTTGCATTTTCTAGCAATTTAAGTCGTCTGTCAGTTGGATTATGCTGCTTGGTCTGTACAAGTGACGCAACAGTCTCAACGTGGTGGAAATATTGTTCAAATACGCTCAGACTGGTGTCTGTATTGTCCTTTTAATGAAAGTGTTTTTGGATGTTTTATTTTTTATCTATTTTATTTACAAGACATTTAAAGGGAAAACAAATGATGATGCTGCCGCTGTTAGAGCCATGCGTCTACAGCATTTAACAGCTTTATTTTAATTTAAGTACTCATTACGCAAGGAGCATACAGACATTTGCATTATTATTATTAAATGTGCACATAACTTCATTGTGTGTGTCAAATTGTGATTATTTGACATGTGCTGCTTTCTGACTTATGTTCACACTACAGCTGTAAAGAGAAACAGCTTTCACTGATTAAGCTTGAAGTAAAGTGAAGCCTGACTAACTGGGACCAGAATAGTTTGGATGTTCCATGATAAGCTAGGTCCTTTTACCTTTTTGAACCTTTTCATTTCCTGAAAATAAACCTAGCCCTAACCCATGCTTGTTTTACTATCATTTACAAATACCATTGATATTTAATACTAGGGATGAAGTCTAATCATTTGTAATAGTACATGAGAGGCATGGCCTAGGGCAATAGCACATGCCTGCTGTTGCATGCACAGGAGGCACACACACTTGTGTAACTAAAGTTATATACATTATCTAAGTAAAAGTAGTATGCAAAGTACAATACTGCTGCAAGTAAAGGTACTGAACGTGCTTTAAGTGAGCATCGAAATATTAAATAAATAGGCAAAGGCACTCTTTATGCAGAATGGTCCATTTCAGACTTATATATATGACTGGATTACAATCAGTGATGCATGAATCACTTTACTGTTGCAGCTGGTAAAGGTGGGGCTGATTTGGTTACTGCTGGGAAGCTTAACTTATAATAATAATATGTCGTCATGTATTACTTGATTTATATTTAGGATTAAAAAGCCAAATTTGCAACAAAAAAAGCAACTAAAGCTATAAAACAGATGCAGTGTAGTAAATATATACAATATTTGACTCCAAAATGTATAGCAGAGTAGTAACACTGAATAAAATACTCAGGTAAGTTCCAAGTGCGTCAAGTTTGTACTAGTACTTAGGTAAACTTATCCTTATAATGTGAACTTGAATGCACCATTGGGTTTACCCAATGATAGTGACGCCCCAAAACTGCTGCACGAGGTGGTTTACTTTGGAGGAGGCTCCTGAAGCACGTGCCTAACCCCGCCTCAGACTGTCACTCATCAAACAGGCTGACATTGTCAGTGTCCGGGGAGAGCAGCGGCCGTCAGTCCGTCCTGTCTGCTGAGAACTCTGTAGGTTCTTCTGTCATGGACGGCTCTGGAAAAACACCCGTTAAATATACAGAAGGGGTGAAAGAAGATTTGAAGGCAGCTGAGGCGGCTTCGTCCGCTCAGGGCTCGTGCCTGGGGAGGATGAGGGGCTTCATCCCGCAGGAATACCGGAATGAGCTCGTGCAACTTTTTAAACTAGCGGGACCAGTGGTAAGACACCCCAGCCCGGCGTTTATAGACTAAACAATGAATTGGTTAATCTGAAAATAATCAGCAGATTAATGGAGAGTGAAAATAATTGTTAGTTGTAGCCCAAATTAAAAGCTCACAAACATAACACAGTAATTCATTCTGGTGCCTTCAGGCCCCTACAGGGTCTGGGACCCCAGAACACAGCTGTCAATACCCAAAACTCATAATCATTGATAATCACTGTCTGTAATAACTTGTTTGCTGCGTTTGACGAGATGATTTTCATTTTATGATTATATTTTTAGTTTGTTATAGGTAATTACAATGTTGAATAACTAGCCATCCCTATCCAATTCCTATTTTCTGCATTTATCCATTGATATTTAGCTAGCTATTGGAATGTGTCTCAAATTGTTATAATATAATAATAATGCAGTTGTCGCAGAGAACCACAAAAAGCCCACGTTCCCCTTGCATATTTATTATATTTTTATGACACCTCATGTTTATATAGTTATAGAATATATCTTGTGTAAGTGAAGGGTTTTGTGTTTGTTTTTGTACTCCAGGTTATTTCCCAGACTATGATCTTCATGATCAGTTTCGTCAGCACTGTGTTCTGTGGTCACCTGGGAAAAACTGAACTTGCAGGAGTATCGTTATCAATTGCGGTGAGGAGAAATGCTCAGATCCTCTCTGTGTTTGGACTTTGTGTGTTTTGGATCCCAGCCTGCTCGTACTGGCGTTTGAATGATCTGTCTTTTAATATGTGTTTTTTCCCTGAATTATGTTTTCTTTGTTTATTGCAGGTGGTAAATGTCACCGGTATCTCCATTGGGTCTGGTTTGTCATCAACTTGTGATACCCTCATATCTCAGGTAGTCCTCTCCAGAGGTTCTTTCACCTTATTTATCTAACCAAGACAAACACAGCTGCCAGGTTCCCAGGTTGTCCTGCGGTCTCCTTTAAAACAACTCAACAATATGCTTTTGTATCACGTTAGTTTTCTTTGACTAGTCATACCTTGGTTATTGGTGTGATTAGTGTTTTCTGCTTCTTCCTCTGTCTTCCTGTTTCATGCAGACGTATGGGAGCGGTAACTTGAAGCGTGTTGGTGTGATTCTCCAGAGGGGGATTCTGATTCTGCTGCTGGCCTGTTTCCCCTGCTGGGCCATCCTCATCAACACTGAACCCCTCCTGCTCGCTGTGAAACAGAGCCCAGAGGTGGCCAGGTCAGTCATTAATAGTCCATAAAACAACAGACACCTGATAGTGCTGGACATGTGGTCTTGTGACACTGTGACATTCTGTTTAGATTTGTATACATTTAGAAATGGAATGAATGCAATAACTGACAGAAATCATTACACAGTAAAATGTGTCAAAACATGGATGAGCATTCCTATGAAAGCCAAGTATTTAGGCCAAAGGGATGCTTTGACCTGTCATTTGCCTGCTGGGGTTATCAGGCTGTGCTGTCATAAATCTACTGGGCGAATGACAGGCATCATCATTCTCTTACGTGCCTTTAAACCACCTTTATATCCTACTCTCCCCCCTAACAACAACAACTGATGAACATGTGGCGACAAACTGTTCATTTCTGCAGATTCCTTTAGTAACTGCGGTCACTTGGACATTAAACCTGCATTAACTTCATCATGTTCAACAGCTAGTCTCTATGTTTGCTTGCTGTTTTTTTCCAGTATATAATGCAGAAAGGCTCGTATTTTTTACAGCTCTGGTGTTAAGCTATTTATTTTGTTTTTATTTATTCTTTATTTTCTCAAAATGTCCCTATATGAGCCACCATATTGGTAATCTGGGAATCTTTCCCCTCTAAAATCAGTATTGGTATCGGCCTCAAAAAAACGTATGAGCCGGACTCCCTCCCACTGTACGGATACAAAGATACGCAGCAGTGATCGGGGTCGGTGCCGACTCAATCGCTGTCAGGGTCAACTGTCAGTTATGATGTGCTTCGAATTACTAATTAAAACCAAACTTATCAGAAAAACTAACACTTGAACATACAACAGCGTGATAAAATCTAAAATGACAGAAACTATCTTTGGGAAAAATGTATTTGATTTTTATAGTTTGGTCCATGTCCTATCTGCTAACATGGTGTCAGCGGGCTTTATGACCTATACTGCAGTCAGTCAGAATGAATGATTACTTTGAGGGAAAAACGAACTGACTTATGCATGCGGAGGATCAAAACGTTTACCACTGATTGCTGTAGGGCTTAATATCTATAGAGCTTTTAAAGACAAAGAAATAAATTACTGTCAACATTACTTGTTTTTCAAAAAATAATTGTATTGATCATTCTATAACAACTACAAAATAAAACCAACATGGAACCAATACGTTTTCCTTCATCCCGTTAAAACCTGCAGCAGCCGAAGAAGTGATAATGGCTGATAATGACTTCATATTTTATATATTAATTATATATACAGTCATATGTTTCAACCCCACAATTTCACATGCATATTTGTTTGCTTGTGTTTCTACATGAAGTCTCACCCAGATGTATGTGAAGATCTTCATGCCTGCCCTGCCGGTGAGTTTTGGTGCATTCTGAATCCTTTGTATGATGATAAGATACAGTACACACAGATTTCAAAAAGGTTTTTTAAATTTTTGCTTGATCATTACTCTCAAGCTCAAATGTGCCTACAGTATGCCAAAGTGACACTGACTTCCTTTTTCAGGCTGCTTTTATGTACCAGTTGCAAGGGAGGTATCTTCAAAATCAGGTACAGCAGTACAAACACACGGATGTCACCGTTAATGACTGGACCATAGTTATTCTGATACAGGATTGTGCTGCGGTTCACAGGGAATCATATGGCCTCAGGTTGTAACTGGAGCAGTTGGAAATGTCTTCAACGCAATCATCAACTACATCTTGCTGTATCGTCTGGATTTGGGTGTTGCGTGAGTTTTCCAACATTCTGTAGTGGAGCTTTGTGTAATTATTAATATATTATAACACTTAATTACATCAGGAGACACTGCTTTTAATTATTAACATGTTATGTCACTGAATTGGAGTAAGTTTGTTAAATATGCTTTACATATTACATTGAATAACCAGAACAATAACAATTATAATTTTTTATCTTTTAAGAATCTAAATGACCAGGTGGACACAAAATGTGTATGAAGTCTAGTTTCATAGCCACAGACAAAATGTGAATATGAATATATACAAGTGCTTTCTGTTGTTTCTTCTTTACCTCTTTGCTCTCTCTTTTATTCTCAGTGGATCTGCGGCAGCCAATGCTATCTCACAGTATTTGCTGGCTGTGATCTTGTACATTTACATCTGCTGGAGGGGTCTGCATAAGGCCACATGGGGAGGTGAGTTGTTTTCTCATTTTTATTGTGAGCACAAAATGAAATTGTGTTCTTTTTTTATTATAGAGTTGACTGCATAAATTATCTTTCATCCTCTTACGTCATTCACGTCTCTCTTTTTTTTCACAAAAACACATTCCAGTGTGTAATGTTTGACAAAGCTGGTTATACTCTATAACTGTGTAATGTGGTGTGCAGAAAAAGTTGACCCGAGTGAGGATTTACGTTTATGTTCTATCATCTGTCCGAGCGCTGTTGGCTAACCAATTTTCTTGCCAGTAGCACAGTTATTCTAGCCTTTTTGTGATTTTCACACAGATTTTGTCAAGCATAAATCTCAGCATATGTCCTTTCTGTCTTGTGAGCATATTAACCAACTGCTCACAGGAGTTAGCTCTAACATAACCTCCAGCTCTGATCCACAGGTTGGTCGATGGACTGTCTGCAGGAGTGGGGTCCCTTTATCAAACTGGCCATACCCAGCATGCTCATGCTTTGTCTGGAGTGGTGGGTGTTTGAAATGGGAGGATTCCTGGCCGGAGTGATTAGTGAGACTGAGCTGGGAGCTCAGTCTATAGCATATGAGCTGGCAGTTGTAGCTTACATGGTAACTCCTCTTGTTTTTACTACCATTGTAAAGGCTAACCCTGTGCTAATGTGTCGGCTCTAGTGAAATTAAGTGTAGTCTTAATGCACTTTTGCTAATCAATTTTTTCCCACAGTTCCCGTTGGGATTGTCTGTTGCTGCCAGTGTGCGGGTTGGGAATGCTCTTGGTGCAGGAAACATAGCGCAGGCCAAGCTGTCTTGCAAAGTCCCCATCATGTGTGCATGTAAGAATCAATGCGTATATGCAAGAATCCATGATTATATTTGATAATATTTTAATATTCTCACTATTATTTCATTAGCAAGAAGTTAGCCCAATGGGAGAAAGTATAAGAATAAGACTATTCTGTTCATAGGTTTCACTTCACACACTCACAATTAATCCTCCAATCTACAGTATAGGGAGACTGATCTGAGACTACACCTTATCACATAAGGGTAGTGGCCTGATGTGTATCAATTTTGGGATCCTTGACACTAAAAAGGCTGAGAACCATTGCATTATGTCACCTCTAGATGGCAGCACTGTGTCATCTAGATTCTTGTTTAAACTATTTTCAGTTCAATTCAAAGGAGCTTTATTGGCACTGGAAACAGAGGTTTACATTGCCAGTGTAAAATATATGTATATTCTACACAGATTAGTAAGCAGTTATATTACATAATAATAATAATATGAAGTAGAAAAACGAAAAGTAGGCTTGTAGTCACACAGAATAGTTGAGGCTGAAACATCCTCAGTTTGGATCAGTAGACCACAGTTTTGAGATAGAAATTTTCCATTTAAACATACTTCTGATTTTGAAAATGATGGTGTGAAATTGTTCATAACACACTTTTCAAGTGTTCCGTGTATAAATAACAGTTTTTTTGTCTCTTGTTCTCATGCCAGTCATAATTGCATGTATTGTTGGAGCCAGTTTTGCCATCGCCAGAAATGTCATTGGATACATTTTCACTTCAGAGCCGTAAGTAAAGTCTTGGACAGTATCTTTCACTTTCTTGTATAGTCAGAATTATTCAGTTATTATTTTTTGTATAGTCCAGGTTTCTGTGAAATAGCACTGCTCTCCAGACTGTTATACATTAACTCATCTTCATGCTGACTCACAATGACTGAACTCAGTGATGCCAAATTAAACACTGCTAAAAAAGGTATTCATCCCACTTCCTCAGAGTCGGCCAAATGGTGTCCATGTTTCTTCCATTTCTGTTCACCAAAACAAACCTGAATAATTTCAAATGATTACATTATATGAGCCACTGTTCCCCAGTTTTAAGCAGCATACAACGGTCCTTAGACATGATGGTGGTTTGGAAAAATCTATGTCAAATAAGATGATTTTGCACAAAGGTTATCATGTTATGTCATTAGACTTTTCTTGTTTGATTATGAGTGGAAAGCTCTAGTTTACATGCAGTGTTCTTATCTGTTCACTGTATTCATTTTTATGTTTTACGTACACCACTAGCTCACTAAAGAACTCATAATTCCTCTCCTGTGTCTCTTCCTGACATTGTAGTGTCCATCAAGAGTCTCTGTCTGTATGTTTTTCAGAGAAATTTTACAGAGGGTTGCTGACGTCCTGATCATATTTTGTTTCACACATCTTGCTGATGCCATTGCGGTGAGAAACAGTTTCTACTTGCATGAAACTGTTTATCAGGATTTCAGACCAGAATTGACATGTACAGAATGTTATTTGACCAAATCTCTGTTCGATATGATCAGGGCGTGGCTGGAGGTGTTCTCAGAGGAGCAGGAAAACAGTTGATTGGTGCTCTGTGTAACCTGGTGGGATTCTACTTCATTGGCTTTCCTATTGGTGTGTCTCTCATGTTTGCAGCAAACATGGGCATTGTAGGTGAGAACTGGCCATTAATGTACAGTTCTTCAATTGGTGCTTTATGTCGTCTTATCTCGCGCTTGTCAACTAATGTTCCAAAATAGCCATTAAAACTCTTCTCTCATCTCTGTAAAAGGACTATGGACTGGACTGACCATTTGTGTGGGTGTGCAGTCCCTTTTCTTCCTCACATATCTGTGGAAACTTGATTGGAAGAAGGCTGTTGAAGAGGTGCGTACCTATATCCTTTGACTCATCAAAATGCTACTTTTTGTCTTCAGATATATTTGAAGTTGAAACCTGCTATTGGTAATGTCTTTATTCTCTCTGATCAGGCTCTTGTGAGAGCTGGAGTCCAGATCAAAGAAGAAAAAGTGATGGTCAGCATGAAAAATACAGGTAAGCTCCAACACAAACTGAAACGACCTTTCATGACAGTGTTTTGTTAATACTAAAGATTCTCCCTCAAACCTCCAGACTCAAATCAGAACCAGGCTCAGATCAGTACTATTACATCGAGCTGTGTGACTGCTGAGGAGGACTACACATACCAGGAGGTGCATATTGCAGACCAAAATAAATCCACTACCACTACAGTAGGGGATGTTCTGTCAATAACACAGCTGGTTTTACGGCGTGGCCTCACATTGCTGCTCATGGTCGCCATCCTCGTTGCTGGAATCTTCATCAGCGACTTCCTCGTCAAGTTGCTAAAATAACTCCTCTGATTATGTAAATCTGGCAGTCTGACTGATGGTTGTCAGGATTCATAGCATAAAGTTCCAATTAAACAATATGTTCATGGTAACTCTAAATCACAGTGTAATGCTATAGGGTTACCGTACTGTTGATCCCACTGAGGATCAACGCTGGAGGCTGTAGTTTTGTGCAGACTTTAGCCACTCTATGACAGAGAGCCAAATTAAACAAGGTTATAAGGGCGGAATATCTAGCAAGCAAAACAGACTTTATTTTTGAGTGGTTAGCTGACTTAACCAGGGCGAGTGTTTGGACTTTAATGGGATGCTCATGTTCTGTTTCTGTTAAATGTTGGAGTAACATCAGGCAGGTATCTGCCTACATGATAGCCATAACAAATTTGATGAATGATGGGGCAGTACTTTATGTCATCGCTTTTTTCTGTGATTTTGTTTTGAAATCAACTCGTGAACCCTAGAGAGTAACAATTGCTTAATGCAACTTTAATTTGTTCAGGCGTGCCGTGTTTGTCCCACTCTGTTTGTCTCACACTATTCAGTAGCTCAGGTAGGGTTTAATAAAAAAAAATCTGAGAAATTCCGTTTTGATTTTAGAGGAACATTTTGAAATGTTTACACACTGTGCCTTGGACAAATATGTAAATTAATATAAAGTGCAAAAACTTAAAGGTAAGTGTATTTGTAGGCATTATAGGTAAACAGTGACGTCATACGCCCCACAGTGGGACACCTAAGTCTTTGTAACTTTATGTAACATTAGTACTCAATATTTTGTCATCAAAAGCAAAACATAAAAACTCTAAAAAAAAATGTATTCAGGTTAATTTTAAAAATAGTGTTTCTCTTTGTATCTTGGTTAATTGTCATGAATGCTGTCGTAGTATACGATATACATGTAGTATAGATATACATGTAGATGTACTTGATACAGTCTGTGGTATATTAATTAATTAATGAATTCACATTAATGTCACTTAGTGTTCTCTGAATGTGTTCACCTCAGCAATACAACCACCACTTTCTGTTGTATGCCTGTGTTAACCTTGGTGAGTGTTTTGCAACTAGGAATACCAAAGATGTTTTGTAAGCAATACATTTAAATTATTTTCTATAATGAATAGTATTTTCTTCACTGTCATCTTGCAATATAAATAAAGAGTTAAATGATTGTTATAAACATGTTGAATGTATGTGTGTATTCAATAGTATTTCACACTGTACTTCATATTCAAAGCTGTGTTTCACAGTGCACAAGAGACTGTATCATGGTTTGGAAGATGTCTTTTAACTTACACAATCCAGGTATCTCAGTATTGCTCAGAAGTAAAATCATTTTTGAAGTACAGAAGTTGCTATTTAAAAAACTGGTTTATGAAGTTATTGATACAACTGATACATGGGTTCAATCCACACCTGTAGTTTGATTCGTTTGTTCCGGACCAAGGGGGAAAATGATTCATTGTTGCATTTTAGTTCTGGTTCAGTTCCTGTTCACACTGACTGACTATTACAAACAGGCCGA